CGATTCCGTAGCTCTGTAGCTTGAATTGGTCCTCGTCTTTCTAGACGTCCCATGGAGCGAGCGCAAGCGAGCGAGGCAGAGCTTAGAAGACTTCCGGCTAAACAACGTAGGCAGAACCATTTTGGTTCACAGCTTCCCCCAGTCTCATGAGCACGAGGAATGCGAAGCAAAGACCCACGACCAGGAACCGTGGCGCTATATTCATGAGACCCAGCTATTGAATGATGTTGTAGCTGCTTCCTTCTTGAGGCTAGCAAGATCAGAGAGCTACAAAGGGTGCAACCCAAGGACAATCCAGATTGTTCTACAAACTATTCAGATGGCACTTACGCTACTCTATCGCTGGCATTCACTTCGGAACAGACTGTCAACCGAGCACCGGTTCAAACAGGCGAGCGAAACTGTCACATGACTTAGAGCACCACAGCAGCAGGCAAACGAACTAGTGATATTTTCCGAAATTCACACCGGAAGCAGGTCTGAAGGAAGTGAGTATCTTCCTGTGCAATCCTGCATTGTGCCATCTGAGTTGTCTGAGGGGCTAATCAAGATGACACTAAACCAAACTCCTAGCGACTCGCCGATAATACCAAAAAACGACTAGTGGCCAACCATACAACGGCCGGCACAACCTCTCATCCTAGTCACAAGTGTGCGAATCGTAGTACTTTACTGCATGTACACGGATGCCCAAGGCCTACTGGGCAAAATCGCCGAATTTCGGTTGCGCCAGGCAACAAACGTTGTTTTTTCATCTCCATAACCATGACTTATTTGCACTCCGTGGTTACGGATATCGAAATCGCGGTTCAGGGATTGCCACTGTTCAGACAAGACAGTCCCAGCAGGGAAGGTGGTGCTATCCTATACTATCGCAACGACTTACAATGTGAACCCCTGGATGATCCGGAGACGCGGGTCACCGATTCGCTATAGTGATAGTTGCGCCTCAGGTACAATGACAACTGCTTCACAGCAGTCGTGTATCACCCCCATCGTCTACTCCAGAGTTGGATTCCCACCTAATATTATCACTGACGAAATAATTGCTTACAACTTACAGCCACTTTCTTATCTCCGGCGATCTCAACGTGTACGACTTGGAACCCTCGGGATCCTCCAACGAAATATACAAAGCCGAACTACAAGATCTTATCGCAAGTATTCCGTTCTACAATCACATCAGTCAACCTACCGCGTACAATGATGATAACAAAACCATTGCTACTTCATCTCGTACTTACAAATGTGGAACTCATGGTCGGCAGGTCATTTCTAGACACCCCCACTAAGGTTAAGCGATCATGCCACCATACTTTATAATTATATGTGTGACGCTGAATATCCTGAGGAACACATAGAACTAACACGTATTACCACACATTACAACATCCTGAACGACCTAGTTGAGACCATTGATAGGGAATTTTTGAAAAGTGGCTCAGCTGACAGCGCCTGGATTCAGCTTGTTGGACGCAATAGCATTCCAATCGCAACTGCTTCAGAAACGAAAAGGGTTCGCTCCAGCAATCCCTCCTCTTTCCTCAGAAGTAGAACCCGCAAACGCATGTTACTATGGAATGCAGCTTTTCACATTTACTGAGTTCGTCCTGGTCCCGAAACCTGGAGTGATTACGTGACATAGCGCAACCATTGTAACATGTTTGCCCGTGAAGATGAATCATCTCACCAACAACATTTGGCTTGTAAATTTGCCGACAGCTTAAAGCTGCTATATAGGCATACGAAAACCATCCGGAAAGTGAAGCTCGATATCCCCCTACTTAAAGCGGCAGTCGGAGTGGCACATAGTGCTGAAGATGCAGCCAACGCCCTACGGATGCAGTATGCCCCAACTGTCCAACGACACATCCGCCACTGTTACACACCTACATCCGTAGAACCAATTCCGACACTCACTGAAATCCAGTTTACTCCCACATTTTTGTTAAAGAAGCTGCTCTCACCACGCACCTACAGCTCGCCCGGAATCGATGACATTCACCCTAGGGCACTGAACATAGCAGCAACAACGCTGGCCGGGTCATTACCGCATATCTTCCAAACTTGCTTAGATAAGCAACTTGGGCCTACCATGTAGGAACATGCCTTAATCACTACAATTTTCAAAAGCGATAACCGCTCGGAACCCGCCAACTATCGCCCAGTGGTCCTCCTTCCTGTGCTCTCAAAGGTGATGGAGGCAAACATCGCTGAGACTTTAGTAGACCATCTGGAACGCCACAACATCATAGCACCCGAGCAACACGGTATCTGCCATCACATTTCATTCACTACCAATCTATTGATTGCAAGCAGTAGTTGGACGGAATCGCCTGATAAAGGGAAAGGTCAGACGTCGTTTACCTTGCCTTCTCCAAAGCCTTCGACCGACTGGACCACCGCATTCTGCTTCACAGACTCGAAAGCCATGGAGTTGAGGATCCTGTCCTTGGGTGGATCAGGAATTTCCTGCAGTATCGGCAACTGAAGAGCAGAGTTCGGAGTGTGCTGTCCGATCCGATTCATCACTTCCATTGTGGAGTTCCACAAGGATCAGTTCTGGGGCCGCGTCTGTTTCTCTTGTTCACTAACAAGCTTACGCTTTTGATTGCGTTAGATTGCTTGCTGTTCACTGATGATGTTAAGATGTAGCGGACGATCGCCGACCCTGCAGATTAGGATGTACTTTAGCGAGACCTGGACAGAGCGTATGAGTGGTCACTCCACAATCTGCTCCAGGTCAATTCGGGAAGTGTAAGGTTATTCACATTCGCCACCAGCCGAACATTAGATACAAGCTTGGAAACCATGTCCTGCAAACAGTCACCCAACAGCGCGAACTTGTGTTACTAGTCCAGGCTGATCTGGGCTGCTCAAAACAATCTGAGAAGTCGTCAACTAATGGAAACCAACACGTTGGAATGCTACTGAGGTCATTCGAGTGGTTTGATCCCCCTTTCCGTTCGCAGTTGCCTAACACCTATGTGGAACATGCAAACGAGGCCCGGCAGCCCTGGCACAAGCAAGATGTTACCGTGTTCGTGACTCCAGAGCGACGAGCCACGAAACATGGCAAAGGGTTATTTAATCTTCTTCATCCACTTAGCTTGAGGCCCCTAAAAGTATACAGCGGCCGGTACCGACGCCTACGTGGCGACCTTATTATGCTCTACCAGATTCTAAGGAACCACGACCACGTCTTCCGCCACCTATTACAAATGAGTCGTAGCACGAAACCGTGGGGCCACCAGGTCAATTTAACCACACAATACAGTCGACTAGAATATCGATGGAGCTTTTACTTCCTTTGTGTGTGTCAGCCATGGAACCCCCTCCTAAATTACCATGTTTCCGCCCCCACTTTACCTGTGTTTAAAAATCCCCTTGACATTGCCCTAACCCACCTACATTACGTGATATAGCCTGTGTATCTCAACAAATGATATAATGTAACAAAAGTCGCACAACCAGAATTAATTTGCATAACTGAGTTTGGCTCCTTCTGCTTGCGTCTATGTGAACACTATGGTGAGTTTCACAAAAGGATTTGCAGTTTAGCACTGTTTTCTACTCACCATGTTGTTGTTGTTCTCAGTCTGGCCATCCTAGGGGACTTCATAATCAACCGCTTTTTTGCCCAAAATATACTATTGTGCCACTGATTGTTAGTTCTTGTAGTTAGGGTGCCTGGTTTTACAACATTGACTATACGCTTTATTCGGTTAAATGGATCCAAAGAGTAGATAAACTTTAGGCAACGGGACCCGAGGTATGTTGTAACTGTGTTAGCCGCTGTCCATTAGTCGCAGTTCTGTGTTATCACTGCCATGAACTTTGCTGCTGGAATGGTAGTGCACTCTATAAGGAATCAAGTGGAATCCGTCGTACTATTCAGCGCTTCAAGCTCGGTTGGTGAGCTGTAGGTAGATTTGTGATAAAAAGGAGACCTGCTAGAGCCATTACTGGTCATTTTAAATCGAATACTACTGGAGGACCAGTTCAATCAGCAAAAAATTTTATCTGCGACTTTATAGATCCTCTCGCTCTTATGGGCGATTATTTCCGCGGGTGACCTAAACAGCAGCTGATGCTTTAATGCTCCAATATGCAGGATAACCATAATAAATCCTCGTCTTTCTAAAAGGGAGTCTGTATAGCTGTCAACCGGTAGGGCGAAGATGCAGCGGTATATCATTTAGACGAATGTCATAAATCTACATGGAACCATCGTACTAGGAGACGCGGAGAAAAGTTTCATGTCAGCATGTGATGTATAGGCATGCTAAGAACAACTGCATGTCAAATAACAAAGTGTACTTTAACTAAACGTCTGTTTAACGCGGGTCTTTGTTGGAATCAAGCGATAAATAGGCAGCCAAACGTGTACACGTGTGTATGAGGTATGCACGTACAGGGTGTTTTAGATATCATGTCCGAAACTTGAAGCGACTGCACTCACGTGCTGACTTACCGCGGCACGCTGAATTGCCACTTGTCCAGTGGCGAATGATGATTTCCCGAAAGTGGATGGGACACAGAAGCGGGACTAAAGTGTGACTACGATCGCGGCGCAGACCAACAGAACATAGGCTTGTTGACTATGAGCAGTGAATGTTTGCTAAACACCAAAACTGCGCTCGACGTGTCACGCTTCGATCGGTTGGCAGACGGCTTGCACATAGCTTAAAAGTCAACAAAAGGGATCCCTGCGAAATGGTTAGTGGCTCACTGTGCTAGCCATTGTGCATAACATCCTAGCCCAATGCGATGAACGTGCGATGGGCGCCGTTTGCTATCGCATTATATGACAAAAGATAATTGCGACAACAGCTGTTATAGCCTCATGATTGGCTTCAAACAAACCCTGAAGCCTTTATTAGGCTGCTTTCGCTGCTAAAGGGTATCACACGACCAGGAGCACTTTCTAAGGTTATAGGCTTGTTGGCTTTAGACACTTCTCTTAGATTGCATTCTGCTCTGAAGCACTAGTTGCACCACTAGACAGCACACCCCCCCCCCCCCCCCCCCCCCCCCCCCCCCCCCCCCCCCCCCCCCCCCCCCCCCCCCCCCCCCCCCCCCCCCCCCCCCCCCCCCCCCCCCCCCCCCCCCCCCCCCCCCCCCCCCCCCCCCCCCCCCCCCCCCCCCCCCCCCCCCCCCCCCCCCCCCCCCCCCCCTCCCCCCCCCCCCCCCCCCCCCCCCACCCCCCCCCCCCCCCCCCCCCCCCCCCCCCCCCCCCCCCCCCCCCCCCCCCCCCCCCCCCCCCCCCCCCCCCCCCCCCCCCCCCCCCCCCCCCCCCCCCCCCCCCCCCCCCCCCCCCCCCCCCCCCCCCCCCCCCCCCCCCCCCCCCCCCCCCCCCCCCCCCCCCCCCCCCCCCCCCCCCCCCCCCCCCCCCCCCCCCCCCCCCCCCCCCCCCCCCCCCCCCCCCCCCCCCCCCCCCCCCCCCCCCCCCCCCCCCCCCCCCCCCTCCCCCCCCCCCCCCCCCCCCCCCCCCCCCCCCCCCCCCCCCCCCCCCCCCCCCCCCCCCCCCCCCCCCCCCCCCCCCCCCCCCCCCCCCCCCCCCCCCCCCCCCCCCCCCCCCCCCCCCCCCCCCCACCCCCCCCCCCCCCCCCCCCCCCCCCCCCCCCCCCCCCCCCCCCCCCCCCCCCCCCCCCCCCCCCCCCCCCCCCCCCCCCCCCCCCCCCCCCCCCCCCCCCCCCCCCCCCCCCCCCCCCCCCCCCCCCCCCCCCCCCCCCCCCCCCCCCCCCCCCCCCCCCCCCCCCCCCCCCCCCCCCCCCCCCCCCCCCCCCCCCCCCCCCCCCCCCCCCCCCCCCCCCCCCCCCCCCCCCCCCCCCCCCCCCCCCCCCCCCCCCCACCCCCCCCCCCCCCCCCCCCCCCCCCCCCCCCCCCCCCCCCCCCCCCCCCCCCCCCCCCCCCCCCCCCCCCCCCCCCCCCCCCCCCCCCCCCCCCCCCCCCCCCCCCCCCCCCCCCCCCCCCCCCCCCCCCCCCCCCCCCCCCCCCCCCCCCCCCCCCCCCCCCCCCCCCCCCCCCCCCCCCCCCCCCCCCCCCCCCCCCCCCCCCCCCCCCCCCCCCCCCCCCCCCCCCCCCCCCCCCCCCCCCCCCCCCCCCCCCCCCCCCCCCCCCCCCCCCCCCCCCCCCCCCCCCCCCCCCCCCCCCCCCCCCCCCCCCCCCCCCCCCCCCCCCCCCCCCCCCCCCCCCCCCCCCCCCCCCCCCCCCCCCCCCCCCCCCCCCCCCCCCCCCCCCCCCCCCCCCCCCCACCCCCCCCCCCCCCCCCCCCCACCCCCCCCCCCCCCCCCCCCCCCCACCCCCCCCCCCCCCCCCCCCCCCCCCCCCCCCCCCCCCCCCCCCCCACCCCCCCCCCCCCCCCCCCCCCCCCCCCCCACCCCCCCCCCCCCCCCCCCCCCCCCCCCCCCCCCCCCCCCCCCCCCCCCCCCCCCCCCCCCCCCCCCCCCCCCCCCCCCCCCCCCCCCCACCCCCCCCCCCCCCCCCCCCCCCCCCCCCCCCCCCCCCCCCCCCCCCCCCCCCCCCCCCCCCCCCCCCCCCCCCCCCCCCCCCCCCCCCCCCCCCCCCCCCCCCCCCCCCCCCCCCCCCCCCCCCCCCCCCCCCCCCCCCCCCCCCCCCCCCCCCCCCCCCCCCCCCCCCCCCCCCCCCCCCCCCCCCCCCCCCCCCCCCCCCCCCCCCCCCCCCCCCCCCCCCCCCCCCCCCCCCCCCCCCCCCCCCCCCCCCCCCCCCCCCCCCCCCCCCCCCCCCCACCCCCCCCCCCCCCCCCCCCCCCCCCCACCCCCCCCCCCCCCCCCCCCCCCCCCCCCCCCCCCCCCCCCCCCCCCCCCCCCCCCCCCCCCCCCCCCCCCCCCCCCCCCCCCCCCCCCCCCCCCCCCCCCCCCCCCCCCCCCCCCCCCCCCCCCCCCCCCCACCCCCCCCCCCCCCCCCCCCCCCCCCCCCCCCACCCCCCCCCCCCCCCCCCCCCCCCCCCCCCCCCCCCCCCCCCCCCCCCCCCCCCCCCCCCCCCCCCCCCCCCCCCCCCCCCCCCCCCCCCCCCCCCCCCCCCCCCCCCCCCCCCCCCCCCCCCCCCCCCCCCCCCCCCCCCCCCCCCCCCCCCCCCCCCCCCCCCCCCCCCCCCCCCCCCCCCCCCCCCCCCCCCCCCCCCCCCCCCCCCCCCCCCCCCCCCCCCACCCCCCCCCCCCCCCCCCCCGCCCCCCCCCCCCCCCCCCCCCCCCCCCCCCCCCCCCCCCCCCCCCCCCCCCCCCCCCCCCCCCCCCCCCCCCCCCCCCCCCCCCCCCCCCCCCCCCCCCACCCCCCCCCCCCCCCCCCCCCCCCCCCCCCCCCCCCCCCCCCCCCCCCCCCCCCCCCCCCCCCCCCCCCCCCCCCCCCCCCTCCCCCCCCCCCCCCCCCCCCCCCCCCCCCCCCCCCCCCCCCCCCCCCCCCCCCCCCCCCCCCCCCCCCCCCCCCCCCCCCCCCCCCCCCCCCCCCCCCCCCCCCCCCCCCCCCCCCCCCCCCCCCCCCCCCCCCCCCCCCACCCCCCCCCCCCCCCCCCCCCCCCCCCCCCCCCCCCCCCCCCCCCCCCCCCCCCCCCCCCCCCCCCCCCCCCCCCCCCCCCCCCCCCCCCCCCCCCCACCCCCCCCCCCCCCCCCCCCCCCCCCCCCCACCCCCCCCCCCCCCCCCCCCCCCCCCCCCCCCCCCCCCCCCCCCCCCCCCCCCCCCCCCCCCCCCCCCCCCCCCCCCCCCCCCCCACCCCCCCCCCCCCCCCCCCCCCCCCCCCCCCCCCCCCCCCCCCCCCCCCCCCCCCCCCCCCCCCCCCCCCCCCCCCCCCCCCCCCCCCCCCCCCCCCCCCCCCCCCCCCCCCCCCCCCCCCCCCCCCCCCCCCCCCCCCCCCCCCCCCCCCCCACCCCCCCCCCCCCCCCCCCCCCCCCCCCCCCCCCCCCCCCCCCCCCCCCCCCCCCCCCCCCCCCCCCCCCCCCCCCCCCCCCCCCCCCCCCCCCCCCCCCCCCCCCCCCCCCCCCCCCCCCCCCCCCCCCCCCCCCCCCCCCCCCCCCCCCCCCCCCCCCCCCCACCCCCCCCCCCCCCCCCCCCCCCCCCCCCCCCCCCCCACCCCCCCCCCCCCCCCCCCCCCCCCCCCCCCCCCCCCCCCCCCCCCCCCCCCCCCCCCCCCCCCCCCCCCCCCCCCCCCCCCCCCCCCCCCCCCCCCCCCCCCCCCCCCCCCCCCCCCCCCCCCACCCCCCCCCCCCCCCCCCCCCCCCCCCCCCCCCCCCCCCCCCTCCCCCCCCCCCCCCCCCCCCCCCCCCCCCCCCCCCCCCCCCCCCCCCCCCCCCACCCCCCCCCCCCCCCCCACCCCCCCCCCCCCCCCCCCCCCCCCCCCCCCCCCCCCCCCACCCCCCCCCCCCCACCCCCCCCCCCCCCCCCCCCCCCCCCCCCCCCCCCCCCCCCCCCCCCCACCCCCCCCCCCCCCCACCCCCCCCCCCCCCCCCCCCCCCCCCCCCCCCCCCCCCCCCCCCCCCCCCCCCCCCCCCCCCCCCCCCCCACCCCCCCCCCCCCCCCCCCCCCCCCCCCCCCCCCCCCCCCCCCCCCCCCCCCCCCCCCCCCCCCCCCCCCCCCCCCCCCCCCCCCCCCCCCCCCCCCCCCCCCCCCCCCCCCCCCCCCCCCCCCCCCCCCCCCCCCCCCCCACCCCCCCCCCCCCCCCCCCCCCCCCCCCCCCCCCCCCCCCCCCCCCCCCCCCCCCCCCCCCCCCCCCCCCCCCCCCCCCCCCCCCCCCCCCCCCCCCCCCCCCCCCCCCCCCCCCATTTACTCATTAAGAAAACTATTGCCCTCACAATCAAACAATTGGTTGTTGTACAAATAGAGCATGCCTTCAATGGTGTTTCTCCTGTGCAATCAAGAAGATACATTTATTTATTTACTTATCTTTACAGAAAATGTGTGAAATGTATGCAAATATCAATGAATTAGGTGCTCTAAGTGCCCCCGTCGTTTTGCTTGCAGAGCAGCATTCACCTGATGAGGTTGGCAAGCACTTTCTGCGATGTCCCCAACAAGATCCCACTACATTCGTTGGTAATGTTGTCTTTCAGTTCCTCCAGGTCTGCACGGCGACCGTAGACACACAAGTCCCGCTTCTGGGTCTCATCCACTTTCGAGAAACCACCATTCGCCATTGGACAGGTGGCAATTCAGCGTGCCGCGGTAAGTCAGCACCTGAGTGCAGTCGCTTCAAGTTTCGGACATGATATCTAAAACACCTTGTAGCACGGCGTGTCTGAAGGTGTAAGCTGAATCCACAGCAACATACGTCATGCTTTTCTTCAGTCTAACCACAAGTGAGTACATTGTCTAACACAC